ATGTGTCTCTGAAATTACGTATCTGATTTCTTCTGCTTTATCTTTTTTATTTCTGTTATAAATAGATTTTCTCTTCCTTTATGTCTTCTGTCTGGTTGTTTTCTTGTATGTATGAAAGTTAAGTTGAATGCTATGTGTTAATTTTGTGCCCATACTGTTTTTTGACTGATTCTCTAGGTCCACATTTATACAGTAGTCACTAACACAGGTAGCTTAATTTATTATGTTAAAATTTCAGTTCTCTTTTTTTTTTTTATTTATTTATTTTTATTTATTTATTTTTTTTTTTTCTTTTTTTTTTTTTAAATTTCAGTTCTTAAGTCACACTAGCCACACTTCACATGGTCAGTAAAGATATGTGGTTAGTGGTTACCATATTGTGAAGCTGTGCTCTTGATTTTTTTTTTTTTTAAGGTATACAACCACATCCTCTGCAAATAGTGATCATTTGACCATTTGTTTTCTAATTTTTGAACCACTATTTTCTTCTTATTTTCTAATTGAATGAACCTAATGTCCCAGCATAAATAAAATAATAGTGATGACAGTAAACATCCTCATCTTATTTGAGGTTTTAGTGGGAATGCTTCAAGAATTTCCTTCATTTAAGCTGAACGCTAACATTTGAGCTGAAATAGATGTACTTTGCAATATTAAGGAAGCATTTATCTATTACTATTTTATAGAGTATTCTTATCCAAAAGGTTATTTCAGTCTCTAGAGATGAGTGTTTAATTGATTTGGGGGCTAATAATTCATACATTCTTATAATACTTTATATACTTATACATAGNCCTGTTACTCCAGGTGTTTCTTGACTTCCTACTTTTGCATTCCAGTCCCCTATAATGAAAAGGACATCCTTTTTGGTTGTTAGTTCTAAAAGGTCTTGTAGGTCTTCATAGAACCCTTCAACTTCAGCTTTTTCAGCATTACTGTTTGGGGGCATAGGTGTGAATTACCGTGATATTGAATGGTTTGCTTTGGAAATGAACACAGATCATTCTGTCATTTTTGAGATTGCATCCAAGTACTGCATTTTGGACTCTCTTGTTGACCATGATGACTACTCCATTTCTTCTAAGGGATTCCTGCCCACAGTAGTAGATATAATGGTCATTTGAGTTAAATTCACCCATTGCAATCCATTTTAGTTCTGATTCCTAGAATGTCGACGTTCACTCTTGCCATCTCGTTTGACCACTTCCAATTTGCCCTGATTCATGGGCCTAACATTCCAGGTTTCTATGCAATATTGCTCTTTACAGCATCGGACTTTGCTTCTATCACCAGTCACATCCATAACTGGGTATTATTTTTCCTTTGGCTCCATCCCTTCATTCTTTCTGGAGTTATTTCTCCACTGATCTCCAGTAGCATATTGGGCACCTACCGACCTGGGGAGTCTGTTGTTTTCAGTGTAAGAGTCAGAATCACAAACTGGATGAACACCTAGGCAAAGTACTGAATGAAAAGCACTGTGAAACAGTGAGGTAAAACATTACTAATTGTATAAGTTAAAACTACATACAATAAAACAATCCTTTTGTAAGAATACATACAAACAAAATGATGTATCCTAAAGAAGTCAGAATAATTTGAGGTGGGTGGGAGAGGGAAATTGGGGGTGAGAGATTAAAATATTTTTAGAATTACCTAAGTTTTTAACATGGAGTATAATGATTCTGTGAAAATGACAAGGCCTGGTGTTTGGCAGGATAAGTTGTTTGAAAAATTTCTTCTTTGGAAAGTGGTCTATTGAGATCAGAGTTCAGCAAACTCCTTTGGACATATGTGGTCCACTAGTTGTTTTTGTAAATAACATTTTACTAGAATATGGCCTCTCTCATTTGTTTATGTGTTCTCTGTGGTTGCTTTTATGGTATAGTGATAGAGGTAAGAAGTTGCATCTATTAAAATGGTCCACAAAGCCTCAGATACTTACTATACCCTTTACAGAAAAGTTTGCCAACCTCTGTTTTAGATTTTCCATCTCTTCTGAAGTCAATTTTGATTTGAACTTGTTAATTTCTGCCCTTTAAAATAATTAATTCCTTCTTGTGATAATTACGTAGTTTTTCTTTGTCTCATAGTCAGTAATTTTATAGGATGTGTTCGTCTGTTGTTTTGTCATGATTAGATTGTGGTTATGCATTTTTGGCAAGAATACCACAGAAACTGTGCCCTCTCAGTTGGGGTTGCCAGATAAAGCAAAGAAAAATGTGCAGGATACTGGCTATTTTAGAATTTCAGAGAAACAACAAATAGCACTGTGGTATATATTCCATGCAATGCTTTATCCTCAATATTTCAGAGGGTACCAGATGTCATTATGTCTTGTTAGTGATGTTAACCTTGAAGTTACAGTAGTGGCTAGAATCTCTCCACTGAAAGTTAATATTTTTCTCTTTATAATTAATAAACATCATGGGAAAGATAGAGACCATGCAAATATACTATTTTATCTCAAGTTTTTGCCCACTTATTTTAGCATCCATTGGTGTATGCCTGAAAAAATTATTAATGTGGTGTTTTAATGGCAATTTTTTATTTCCCTAATTTCTTCTACATTTATTGATTCTTCTGGTATTTCTGTAAGGAAGTGTTATTCTTTCTCTATTTAGATTTATCCAGTTATTTATTTTGTTCAATTTGGACTCATAAATATTTCATTCTATGAGTTATAATCCAGTATTATCATTATTAATTTAATTGCCCAGATTGTTCCAGATTTTATTATTTGGAGTTCTTTTTCTTTCAGATTGAGTCTTATGCCCTTTTAACATGCCCATCCTTTCTGAGCACTTTCTTTAGTTCATTTATCCTTTTATTGTTGCTGCTGTTATAACTTGTTGACTTTTAGTACGTTCACAGAGTGGAATATCCATCGACACAATTAATTTTGGAGTATTTTCATTACTCCAAAAAGGAACCTTCTACCCTCCTTAGTTATTACTTCCCAAACACACGATCCCCAACTCTTCCTAAACCATTAATCTACTTACTTCCTGCCTCTATGGATGTGTATATTCTGGACATTTCATATAAATAGAATTATACAATATATGGTCCTTTGTGACTGGCTTCTTTTAGTCATAATATTTCCAGGGTTTCTTGATGTCCTACAGTTGCTATAACAAATTACCATAAACAAAGTGGCTTAAAACAACTGAAACTTCTTCCAGAGTTCTTGAGGCTGGGAGTGTGAAATCATGATGTCAACAGGGCCATGCTGCTTTTGAAAATTCTAGGGGAAGAATCTAGAATTCCACGCCTCTAGATTCCATGCCTCTAGAGTTCCATGCCTCTAGAGTTCCGTGCTTCTAGATTCCATGCCTCTAGATTCCACGCCTCTTTCTTAGCTTCTGGTAGTGGCAGACAGTCCCTGGCTTGTAACTGGATCACTCCAGCCTCTGCCTCTGGCATCACATGGCTTCTCCCCCTGTGTCTCTCTGTCCCTATGTCTTCATGTGGCCTTCTTATAAGGACACCTGTCATTGGATGTAGGTCCCACTCTAATCCAGTAGGATCTCATTGTAACTCGATTACACCTGCAAAGACCCTATTTCCAAATACAGTTACACTTACAGAGAGCAGAAGTTAGGACTTCAGTGTATCTTGTTTTGAACCCACAGCAGGGTTCATCCACACTGTAGCATGTATCAGAATTTCATTCCTTTTTATGGCCAAAAATATCACACTGTATGATTATCATATTTATTTGTCCATTCATAAGTTGATGGACATTTTAGTTTGTTTCCACTTTTTGCCTAATATGAATAATGCTGCTGTGAATGGGATATGTTCAGCAAGATGAGGACTGGGACCTGTTCTCTAGATCCAGGCACATGGATCTAGCAATGGCTAGCTTTGAGTGGGTTCAGAAGGGGATAGAGGCAGTAGGTGGCAAACGGTGACAGTCCTTTCAGGTCTATCTTTGAAGAGCAAAGATGCCTATAAAGGAAGGATTTTAAAGGTGGGAGAAATCTTTGCATGCTTAAATGCTCATATGAAGAATCTAGTGAAGAGGAAGAGGTGGAGGCAATAAGTGAAGAGCGAGGTGATCAGTAGTGAAAAGTTCTTAAGAAGGTGGCAAAATATCTCAGTCTGTCAGACTGGATGTTGCAGGAAGAAGAAAGGAGGTGAGGATGGAGACAGAGTACCTCTGTTTACGTCTTCTTGTCTTTAAAGCAGCACAAGGTTAGGAACTGATGATACAGTTTGGATGGTAAGTGCCTTTTAGATCCACCAGAAGTCAAGGGTCATGTCGTTGAGGAGCTGCTCGCAGTAAAGATGGGGTCTGGCTTCAAATTTCCTAATGATGGGAAAGATTGAAGGCAGGAGGAGACAGAAGACAACAGAGGATGAGATGGTTGGATGGCATCACTGACTCAAAGGACATGAGTTTGAGCAAGCTCTGGGAGCTGGTGAAGGAGAGGGAAGCAAGGTGTGCTGCAGTCCATGCGTGGGATTGCAGAGTGGACACGATTTAGTGATTGGACTGGAACGGCTTCCACATTACAACCTTGGGCTTAGCCATTGGACGTGGGGCTGGGGCCAAAAATCAAGCTTTTCACAGCCCATTGCTCTCCCTCCCCATCCTACCTCCCAGCTGGGCTTTGTTTGCTGCTCACACTAAACACAGCTCCAGCCGTGGCCTCATCCCAGTTGCTTCAGTGGGCAGAGGGTCCTCCCCCCCCCGACCCAGTGACCCCTGGTACCTCTCAGGCCCCAGTTTATACTGATCCCTGTTGGAACTCTTCTACAAGCAACCTTGAACTTGTGACTTGAGGGGCAAGGAAACTCTCCAGGGACTGGTTTCTATTGCTCTTGCCTTCTTGGGGGCATCCAGCTTCCTGTAATCCCAGTGGGGATGACCTTTTCACTGGAGCCTTTATATTGAAGACTGTCTGTGCAGTTCAGAGGCAGAGATGACCCTGCACTGGCTTTCTGGCACTTTGCTCTCTCGGCTCTGGTCCTGAGCATCTTCTCTTCTTCAGGGCAACACAAACTTGCCTGATTCCAGAGACTCCTGGGTATGGGAAGTGCGGGGCCGCTCTTCAGTGAGGAACAATCAGCTGAATCTGGCCAGCTCTGCCTGGAAAAGCTTAGCTTACGGTGAGTGGTGGGGCAGGTACCTGCCTTGTGTGGGGACTTCAGGGCTGAGGTCTGCTAGATCCTGGGGGGCTGCTGTCCCTCAGGATGCCAGTGCTGCCCCAAGGCCCTGATGCTCAGGAGCCTCCACCTATTCATTGTAGGCCGCAGTGCCGCCTTGGGCAGTTGCTGCTGTTCCCCGTCCAGCCTGTCCAGCCTGGGGACCTCCTCCTCCTCCTCATACAAGGATTTGGCCAAGCACATCGTGGACCTCTCTATGGCTGATGTGAGGTTTCCCACAGCAGACTCTGCTCGTTGGGGAGGGAGGAGGAAGAAGGGAGGAACAGGGCAGCTTAGGGCTTCTTCAGCAGCTCTCTCCCTTCACAAAAGGGGCAATTCAGGAAACGCTAGCCTGAGGGACTCATCCAAGGGCCTGCTCTGTATCAGCTGTGCCCACTAATCTGGGTGTGGTCACTGTGTCCCCAGGTGATGGCTGCTTGCTCAGATAACCTGAACAACCTCTTCAGCTGCCGGGCAGCAGCTGGCTGGAAGTAAGTTGCTTTGCACAGCGTCTTATTGTTGCAGCTCTGCTGGCCTTGTCTCCTCCTTTGCCTTCTCCACCCTGGCTTCCTTGAGTCCCTCACCTGAGCTCTTCTGTGACCCTAGAGCCCAGCTTTTACCCCCTCCTCCTCTTCTCCACCCTTGGTGTCTCCCCCAGCCATCAGGGTGAGGAGCAGGAGGTGCAGCTGTACTACAAGATGTTCTCTTCTACCCGGCATGGCTTCCTGGGCGCTGGCGTGGTGTCCCAGCCACTGTCTCATGTGTGGGCAGCTGTGAGTGACCCCACCTTGTGGCCCCTGTACCATAAGCCCATCCAGACAGCGAGACTTCACCAGCGGGTGACCAACAGCATCAACCTGGGTGAGCCCAGGGAACAGAGGCAGCACTCTTGGGAGGCTGGGTACTCAGGCTTGGTCTAGCGGGGTGTCAGGCTGTAGAATGATGGGGTGTCGCTGGGCACCTTCTGACTTTCTGCATCCCTGCCCCTCCAGTGTATCTGGTGTGCAATACCACCGTGTGTGCACTGAAGCAGCCACGGGATTTCTGTTGTGTCTGCGTGGAAGCCAAAGAGGTGCCTGCCTTGCTGGCGGTAAAGATGTGGGAGGAACTTGGGCTGGCATATTGTGAAAAGCAATCTCTGTGGGCATGGTCCTCTGGCGGGGGAGGAGGGCAAACTGGACATGATGTGTGGCGGGGAGGGCCTCAAAGGCTGGTCTTTCCATGGTACTGCCTGCACTGGAGCCTGTCCCTGGTGGAGCCGCATTACATAGGCTGAACTCACACTGCTGTTTCCAGGGGCAGCTGTCTATCATGGCAGCCCAGTCTGTGTATGATGCATCCATGCCAAGACCCAGCAGAGAGATGGTCCGAGGGGAGATCCTGCCCAGTGCCTGGATCCTGCAGCCCCTCACCGTGGAAGGGAAGGAGATCACCAGAGTCATCTACCTGGCCCAGGTGATCCACCTCCTGCAGCTGGTCTCACAGCATGCCTTGATTTGACCCCAGCCTCATGGGAGCTTACTGTAAAGCTGTTCAACATCCTTTAGGACCCAGGACCTGTGGCCTGAAGCTGGAGGTTTAAGGGTTTCTTGGGTCACAAGTCAGTGGCAAATCAGAGAGGAAGGAATGAGGCAGAGCTGATCAACCTTCTTGAAAGCTGCTCTTTTCAGAGCCTGGTGGCCTTCATCCTCTGGCTGTCCCCAGGGTCCTCAGGAGATAGATGAGTCACTGTGAGGCAGAGCAGCAGCCTTAGTTCCCTGACTTGACATTGGGAAGTGAAGCTTTTGTCTAGATCTGAGCAGCAGCGCACAGGACTGTGCAGAGTTCAGTTCAGAGTTTGTCCCATCACCGCAGCTACTTACGGCTGAAGTATGCCCCAGTGCACACCTTTGACTCTTCCCTCTCTGGTTTATTTCAGGTAGAACTTGGTGCTCCAGGATTCCCCCCTCAACTTCTGAGCTCCTTCATCAAACAGCAGCCACTGGTTATAGCCAGACTGGCTTCCTTCCTTGGTAGTTAGCATCTCACAGTCAAGATGGCACTCCAGGATGCCCCAGAGATGCTGGGGCAGTTCTTGTTACTCTCAGTATCCTGATGCAAGAAGAGCCAAGGCTACCTGCTGTGGCTGACTGAACAGACGGCATTCCGCCCCGAAGTTCCAATGAAACCTGGTCGGCACTTGGTCACAGCTGGCACCTCTGCAGAGCAAGGGGGCTTGAGCTTCTGGCTCTGGCTGTCCAGAGTGAATGAAGCTCAACTCACCTTTTTGGATTTCTCACCTTTTTTTCCTGTCTCTGGGACCCTATGGCATATAGGCCACTCGAGGATCAGGATTGGGTACAGCCAGTAGAGCTGGGAAATGGCAGTGCTCTGACATGGTGCTTACTTAGTTTGGTGCAGCCCTTGGGCTGGTAGAGAAGCAAGCTGCCATCGGCCTCCAGCATTCAGCTCCACTGTGGGATGGAGTGTTAGGAAATACCAAAACAGAAAATGGTTTAAAAAACATCTACACAAACCAGAACAATGATGAAGAATTGTTTCTCCTCCTTGAATCTTTACAAATTGCTTTATTATTAATTTTTGCCTTGCCCCCACCCACTTCCTTTCCCTCGCAGGAGAGGACGTTCATTTGGGTCTTGGCCCGTTAGGAGTACTGATCGGTGCTGTGTTACGGAGCCTTCGCTCCAGAGCTCAGTAGAATGAGAAAACCACTGTAGAAGCTGGCTGCATAGATTTGGGGTAAGGGTGGGGCCCCAGATCCTTGAGGAAGACTGGGGATGGGGCTTGGGCATCTCTCATTTCAGAGATGAAAAACTGTCTTTTGAAGACAGGAGGGATGATAATGGACTTCCTAGAGGAGGTAAGTTATTTGTTAGGAGGAAGCTCAGTTCCATTCCTTACCTCACTCGAAGGCTTGGTTCCAGCCTTCGGGCTCCTGAGCATTCCACGCACTGCTGTAGCCCCTTCTGTTCTAGGGTGGGATGGAGACTGGGTTCAGTTTTCTGACTGAACTTGAGCTTTTATTCTGTATGGTTACTTGAAAGTGCTAGGGGTGGGAGAGATTCTTGGCTTCAGTTCTGGTGCCCAGAGTCTTTGGTAGAAGAGGATGACCATATGGGGGTTGAGATGATGTGGTAAAAAAGGTAAATTTCTGCATAGTCCAGCAGAGATTTATTTTTCTGAAAGTATTTGCAGGATTTTTTCCCCTCTTACCTCAGATTAAGTTATTTATATATTATTGAAGGTTTTTTTTTAATTGCTTTTAAACTTATTTTTCTGGTTAATATTTTGGTAACACTTGATATATTTAACACCCTATTTATGTACTCCCTTCTCTTTTCATTATGATTAAGACCACTGATTGAAAAGTTCAGAACACTTGCAAATTAAGTCCAGTGTGTACTTTTATTCAGTGAAGACTACCCTGGGATAGCCTAAATGTGTCATTTGAGCTCAGTATTCAGCCTGGATTATGATGGCAGTAACTGTTCATGGCCCAGTTTCAAGCTATAGTTTACACATATATACTGTTTCCTATGAGCTCAGCACTGCTTTGCATATAAAGAGCAACCAGATTAGTTGCCCAGCTACTGCCAGCTGTAGCCCAAGTTTGAACAAGATGGACAATTCCAGAAGAGTCACTGGCACACCCAGCGGTAATCACAGAGCCCTGGAAGGAAGCTCTTTAGCAGGTATGTCCCTCTGGGGCTTCTGAGGCAGAGCCAGCAGTGGGAATCTGAACATGTGGACAGCCCCAAGGAGACCATATCCACTGTGAGTCAGCAAATCAAAGAACATTAGCTGACACTGGTGCTAAGATATTTGGTTCTCAAGACTTTATTGTGCATTAGAATTACGGAAAGGACTTGGGACACCCCAGGCTGGCCCCATTCAAGTTTCTGATTTAGAGGCCTGGAGGGGCCCACATATTTGTATTTCTAGGAAGTCCCAGGTGATTGTGAGGCTGCTGGTCTGGAGACCACACTTTGAAAACCAGTTTTAGATAACTAGTAGAAAGCAGGCATATGGAAAAGAATCTAAATACTAATGAGTTCACTAGTTCATTAGCTGCCTATCTCTAATTCCTTTCTGATTGCCTGCCTAAAGTAAGCCTTTAAGGTTCACACAGAACAGCATTATTTCCTGAATTGGGCCTGTTGCTATTTATCTGAGTAGCCTTTAACTCAGCATCTTCCAGGGCTCCAGGCTTTCCTCCCTGCTTGCTTGTCTGTCTCATCTCACATGGAGCTGAGTGTCTGAAGTAGCTGCTTACCTTGGGACTCAGCTTCCTGGAGCAGTGCTTTCGTTGAGCCATACCTGATGGGTGCAGAAAGATAAGACATTTCTTAAAACTTTTTTGGTTCCCAAGTATTCAGAACTTTCAGAATTTCCTATAGGAAATGTATGTTAGATTCAAAGCACAGATGAAGAAAAAAAGTTCAGATGCAAAATCTTATTGACTCAGATGAGCTGAGGGGAAGGGCAGGTCACAGCCTGACTAGGCAGAAGTGTGACTGGAGAGGTATGGGGGACGTTCCCATTTTCACCCTTCTGTGCTGACAGGACCTACTATAATGGCACACAGCAGACCTCTTTAGGCCCAGAGCCTCTTACCTACCCTTCCTTGGGTTGTAGACCTCTTTGACAGCTGAGAACTTTTCCTCTAAGAAATACACACACATGCACACAGTTCAAGAGGGTTCACTGAGTACCCTTCTTTCCCTGGCAGAGACTGAATCTCTCTGTACACACTGCCAAAGTAGAAAAACCATGAATTTTACAGGAATGAATTTAATGCACATTATCAGAGTAGTGCTTTCTTAGAATCAGTGCACCATTTATAGACATGTAGAATGCTTCCGTTCTGAGTCAACTCAAACATCCCCAACTCCTGCCCCCACCCCTCCCCAAAAACAAGTGAGTAGAAATTTCACACATCCTAAACCTTTAAAGGGAGTTGCACAGAAGTCAGTACTGTTGGCAGTGAGCTAATAAGGGCCCCAGGCTCTCTGATTTGCAGGTCTCACATACGGGAACATTTAGTCTCTGCTGAGTGGCCAAGCCACTAGGACAGCTCTATCCTGTCAATACCCACCTCCAAGCCCACCTGAGACTTTGCAGCCTTCTGTAGGTACGAAAAAGGTGAAAAAAACTAGACAAGAGCCCCTGTAAAGAAAACAGTTTATTTTAAAAAGCTCTAGTGTTCTGCCCGTGCTTGGCCCCTGGATGGAGCTAGAGTCAAAAGTTACTACCTGCACGGGACTGAAGGCAGGCAGGGTGCAAGGTAAAAGGCAGGTTTCTGTCGGGCGAGCCCCACATCTGTTGTAAATTTTTAAGGAGATGGCAGTCCAGCTCCTGGTGGTAAGAAAATGTAGACTCCCAAGATTCATGTTTAACTTTACTCACAAGTTAAGTAGAAGTCAGTTGCCTTTGTCATGATTTTCCAAACCACAAAGCTTTAAGAGATACTGGGGTAGCAGCAAGTGGGGCTCGAATCTTGTGTCAACAAGTCCCCACAGGTCATTTCACTTAGTATCCAAGTAGTAAAGCCAACTCTTCTCCGGGACTGGAATCTCTAGGTTTTTCCACCATAATCCTGAATCCAGTGACCCCTCCTTCTTCCTCTTGGACTTGGGATGGTGAGCCTGCCGTCCGTGGGATGCCGAGCCTGCCGTCTGTGGGATGCCAGGCAGCTACACACTTCCTTCATATGTGAGCAGGAAGTCTGATGACAGATGGAGCTACTTCACAGCAGCACGGGTCACAGTGGGCACTTGGGGTGGCTCTGGGGCCTCCTCCTGAGGCACAGTCAGGCTGGGTTCCAGCACACTGGTGAGATGCCCAAAGTAGGGACACATTCCAGCCCTAGCTCTGGGCCAGCACAGTCCCCCGGTTTGGCTGTACCAGTTCACAAGCTCTTAGCTGGGGTTCTGGCACATGGGGCTCAGCTAAAAACAGGTTGAACAGTGTTGCTAATTCTTCAGAGAAATCCTGGAATAAGCAGAAAGGTGACTGAAAAAGCAGACACATGATTCTAAATTGTTCACCCTTTTTACTAAAAATCAGTCCCAAATATGAAGCCCTAGCTAAGCAGTGAGTAGACAGCATAGGTATTTTGTTTTTTCCCAACTGCCTTCTACATGGAAATGGACTTGTCCCATTAGTACTCTAGGACGCTCAAGTCCAACAGGGCGAGCCTCTACTGGGAGGCTCAGAACCAGTAATGAGTACTTCATATGCACATTATTTCATCTTGAAAAACCCCATAAGGTCTAAGTTATTCCCATTTTATGGATGAAGAAACTACTTTGCCCTAAATCACATTAAGGACTGACTAAGCTTAAAATCCAGGTTATCCTGATTATAAACACCCACAGTTGGGAATTCCATAGCAATCCAGTGGTTAGGACTCCACAGTTTCACTGCCAGGGCCTAGGTTCAATCCCTGACCCTGCAAGACAAGCAGTGTGGCCAGAAACAACCCCACCATCAGAGGGTTTTGCCAGAGGTGTGCCATGCTTTCTCACTATCTCCCATCTTCCCTTTCTCCATGGACACAGTCCTTCATATAACAGCTACTTAAATGTGAAGGAGGTGCCCCAGAACAGCCATTTCATTTCAGGGTGGTCCTCAAGACATCTGACAATATTCGCTGAGCTTTGGAAGATCCTCAGGATGCCAGGCCCTATCACCTGCCCCCCTTTCAGGATAAAAGGGACATGACACTTATTCTCTCTCCAGATAGAATATGAAGACTCCTTACCCCTGGCCACTGGGTCTCATGGAGGCTGCCTAGGCAAGCCTCTATCTCCATCCGTCTCATCAGACCTTTCTCTACCAGCTCCCGGAGCAAGAAGAGCAGCAGGTCCCACTGCAATACATATGGAGAAAGAGGTCAGGGGGCTAAGAGGACCACACAGTGACCCTGATACAGAGGACAGAGCTGCTAAGGGAGAAGGAGAGATGAGACTGAGGAGTCTCTCTGAGTGTACAGGAGAAAATAAGTACAGCCCCAGAGAAGGGGACTAAACCAGCTAATAACATTTGGGGCAGTGGGTGTAAAAGATCACTGCAGAGGCTTCTAAGAAGCCTGCCCGCCAGCCCCCATCCACCTTCTCTGGCTCACCTCCCTCGGCCGAGTGTCTGCCAGAAGCCCCACGTTTCTTGGCCTCAGCAGTAGCTGCAGTGGAACTGGCACCTGAAAGTCATCCTTCCACAGGGAGAGCAGCATGAGCAGGAGCCTTCGAGCCTGCCCCCTCTCCAGCTGGTGCTGTGCCGGAGGTCCCAGGATGGGAATTTGATCTGCAACTGTGGGAAGAGAGAAAAGCCAAGCTTTAAGAAGTGGAGGCAAGGTCATGTGTCCCTGAGAGGAAGAAGAGCAGAAAACTGTTTTCTAATCTTGCTTGTACCCAACCCAGAGAACTGGGGGATCTGGCAACAGAGGGATGTGATAAAAAGGAGCCATACCAAGGAGGGACGCTAACTCCACAGAGCACTTTGCCAGATGCTGCTCAGCCGGTGGGCACAGGAACTGTGGGGGAAAAACAGGAGACCCTGGATATTAGCACCATAATTCAAGCAGCAGCCCTGGGCCAGTGCAGCTCTGATTACCAGGCACTGGACAAGGCTAGGAAAGAAGACCATCAGGCCCTGTCTCACCTGGCGGCACCGCAGCATCTGGCCCAGTTGGCCCAGCAGCTGCTCCAGATACTCGGGGGCAACTCCCTCCTCAGGTTCCCGGGGCCCCACAGCCAGGGAGAGCACGTCCTGGAGAGGAAGGGTGGCCGCAGAGTGAGCCTTCAGGCCAGGCCAGGGCCAAGGAGGCCACAGAGAATGTGGCTTGGGGTGGGGATCAGCCAGTGGAGACAGGCAGAAAGGAAAGGTGAAGTAATGAGCCAAGGTGCCCTTGGGACTTGGGCAGGGCAGGGCAGGACAGCACAGCTGGCAGAAGCGACCAAGTGGACAACAGGGGGAACAGATGGATCAGGTAAGCCAAGGGACAGTGTGCTGCCAGAGAGCTCGAGATGTCGTACCAAGCCAGTTCTGAAAGCATGCATGTCCTATCACGTACATGTGGTATTTTCTGTCCCTCATGATTCTCCGTTCATTTTCTCAGGAGAGTCGAGGCCTCAGGACAGAAATCATCTGTGTATTGAAAACCAGTAGCTAATGGCTGCTGAGAGTTTCCTTCTCCATCTTATATACTCTCGAACTTGAGTCAGTCCTTTTTTGTCCCTAGTTTAAATCTTTATTACAACACTACTACCGCAGATCTGGGCCAGTTACTAGTTTAGGTCCCTGTCCCAACCACTCCAATTGTGCTCCTGAGCGTGAAAACAGCCCCAGACAATTTGTAAATGAATGAACGTGGCTGTGTTCCAATAAAATTT